CAAAAGTACGAGAAAACATCAAGGTCAAATGGTCAAAATTAATGGTGCCCAAGAAAAATTCTTCTCACAAGAAATACACAGGTGAAATATGAAAGCCGAAGCATCAATCGTTCAAAAGTTATGTCCAAAGTTTAAGTTTTTCAAAAATACATGTAGGTCAAACGTCAAGATCAAAGGGTTAAAATAAATTGTGCCAAAGGGAAGGTCTATACATGTGAAATATGAAAGCCCTAACACCAACTGTTCAAAAGTTATGTCCAAAGTTTAAGTTTTTCAAAAATACATGTAGATCAAACGTCAAGGTCAAAGGGTTAAAATAAATGGTGCCAAAGGGAAGGTCTATACATGTGAAATATGAAAGCCCTAACACCAACTGTTCAAAAGTTTTGGCCAAGGTTAAAGTTTTTCAAAAGTAGGTCAAACTCCAAGGTCAAGGCAAAAGGTAAAAAATATCTGTACCCAAGGAAAGGTCTTGTCAAAAGAAATATACCTGTGAAATATGAAAGCCCTAACTATAAGGTTAAAGTGTGGTAAAATTTTGCAAAAGTGGGTCAAACTCCAAGGTCAAGAGGTCAAATATGTTGGTGCTCAAAAAAAGGTCTTATCACAAAAATACAAATATGAAATATGAAAGCCATAGCTCTAACCAATCAAAAGTTATGGGCAGGGTTAAAGCTTTTGCAGACAAACAGACATTAAAAAGATTAAGAGACTGACAGACGGACAGGACAAAAACTATATGCCCCTGAATCTACAATTACGTGGGCAAAAAAAATGAATTCACACAATTAAGGAATGTTTTCATCAATATTATTAAGCTTGGCCCTGTTACCCTTGAATAGATTTTTTTAACTTAATTACTAGTAGTTTACTTCGAGTACAATCTTCTAAACAATGTCTACCTTATTAAACAATATAACCATGTTTTAGCTTATTTTACTGCAGGTACAATCTGATTTTTAAAAGAATTTCATATAAACATGTATATGCCCATGTAAACTCTGATCCCTTATTAATTGTAACTCCACCCTACCTCCAAGGACCATGATTTCAACAAATTTGAATATGAGGATACTTGCACAATAATATGAGTAATCATGACCCTAATGTTTTTTTTAGGTGAATTTTCAAGTGCGATTTCTTTTTTTTTTTTTGTTGTTGTTGTTGTTGTTCTTTTTGTTTGTTTGTTTGTTTTTAATTCACTGTAGTGTAGTGAAACAAGTTTATAGCGAAGTGCCAGAGATATTTTGATTCATTATATGAAACAAAATTCATTACGTCTAGTAAGTCCATAGTATGTTTTAAAATACAACGAATATTACAAAATCACTTCGCTGTAAGTGAGCGGAATCTCAACCGAGCTTACTGATCTATGTTTTCAATAAAATAATAATAATGATAATATTGGCTATGCAAAGGTTTATGGAACATGTATCATTAAAGTCCTATAGTCGGTATTTTTTTAAATAAAGAACAAGGCTTTGTAGACAGGGGTATTTACCCTAATTCTTTATATATCAATCCAAAAGTTATGGTATTTCTAAAAGTTACAAAAAACTTAGAACACTGTGGGAATAGTAAAAAAAAATAAATAAATAAATTGTGTTTTGGTGAGACATTGTAAAATCTATAGCACTGCATGGAAGAAAAACAATGTGTAAGGACGACAACGCCCTTCATAAATTCATTCGAGTATAAATACCAGGGACCTATATACTAATTAAATATAACTAGCTACTAAATATACTATTAGTACATAGGTCGCTGATAAATACGATTTAAAACGGAATTCACACAACATGAAAAAGTAATCGTACAGCAAATTGAAACGGTGTCTTGTCTGGGTATCCCTTTTTTTATGAATTCATGAAATTTAATGTTTACAACGGCACGTTTAATTCAAGTTTATTTGAAAACAGTAAAACTCGGTAATAGAGAAGTCCTGGGGACCTGTGAATTTACTTAGTTATATAATCCGTAAACTATACTAGTATACAGTGCATGGTGAATTCGCAATTAACATGTTTTCCATCTTATGACCACGGAATATGTTCAGAGAAGTATTGAAACAATTTACTCCTGAGAAATAAAGTTTTCTGTTAAATAAAATTTCAAATATAAATACATGTGTACTTAGGAAATGTTATATCAGATCAAAATTCTAGGGACCTTAAAATAATTCGTTATAAAAGATGTAAATTTCTTTAATTTTAACCTCTATATGGGACACAAGATCATGCAACTTGCTATATCCGAAATTTCGTTATATCAGAGTTGTAACCATGAAGTTTTACAAGGAATTGTTAAGAATTTTCGCTTGCAAGTTCGTTCTATCGTACTAAAGGATCTTTACTGTACCAATCCAGTGTCCTCATCGGGTAGAAACAGTGTATCGTTATGCCATCCGACAACAAATTCACAACAAGCGAATTTATTGGCCTGTAGAGACGACTATAAAGGGTTAGGAGGTGGATAAAATATACATGTTGGATATAGAATATGTCTAGAATTAGGGGATGAAAGGTCGTTGATTGACCAATGCTGGAAAGTGGCGAAACACATCCCCCAAAGTGCGCAGAAAATCTTGCGCCGTAGATTGCACTTTATTTAGATTACGGGGTCTGTAGCACAGGTACTTGTGGACAGGACCCCCCCCCCCCCCCCGAATATACCCCACGGGTCAAAAAATATTTTTATGTATTTTTTTCATAAATTATTCTTCTAGTACACAATTACAATGTATTCCATAAGAAAAATCCAAAAAATAACGCAGAATTAACGTTTTACTAAAAAATCATACCCGCGGTATTATAAAAAAGGAGGGCCTGATATCCAAGAAGGGTCCAGTGTAAACAAATGGAAGTGACTTACCTTCTCTATTTTAGAGAATTTTACATTTTACATTGTAAATGTGTACTAGAAGAATAATTTATGAAAAAAAATACATACAATATTTTTTGACCCGTGGGGTATATTCGGGGGGGGGGGGGGGTCCTGTCCACAAGTACCTGTGGTCTGTAGCATAATGGTCAATACTAAAATATAAAACCAATACGCTACAGTTCTGCAGCTATGACTATAACAAACGCGAAACCATTGCGTTATAACGCGTAACTTTCGCGAATAAACGCGTTATATAAAGCGTAACTTTTGCGAATTAACGCGAAACTTTTGCTATAAAACTTAGACATTTGCGTAAGTCCCCATTTGTGAAAATTTTCATCTTCTTCTCATGAACGACTTAACCCATTCTAACCAATTTTAGAATGTGTGACCCCTTGGGTCAAGGAGAACAAAAATTTTGGGTTTCGTAAGTCTCTGCCCCGGGGGCCTAAGAGGTGGATCCAAAGCCATCAAAATTATTACACAATTTTTCAAAAATCTTTTTTTACTCCCCCCCCCTTTTTTTTTTACTCAAGCAGTCAAAATGTTGGCATGCATGATCATATCAAACAATGAGTCTTTACTAAAATTGTGAAATTCATGGCCCCTGGGTCAGGTGTCTTCGTGTTAGAGTGGGGCTCTATAATAATATGGTGAAAATGCATTATTTCGTTGAAAATCTTCTTCTCTTCTCTGGATATGAAGTAGACAGACGGAGTATATGGTTATGATGAGCAAAGGTACCTCATCCAATTATATAAAATCCATGGCCCCTGGATCAGGGGTTCTGGCGGATTTAGAGGGGGCCCAGGGGACCCGCCCCCCTTTTGTGTCCAAAATATACAAAAGTTTTAATAAATCAATTTTTTTGGTGTGGCTGTGGGCCCCTACCCAGACCCCAAACTGATCGGGCCTCCTTTTCAAGATTCCTGGATCCGCCACTGCTAGCTATTGATCATATATTGAAAATGCATAAATCCTCTCTCTCCTTGAGTTTTTAACAGATGGTTATGATGAGCAGGGATGCTTTTTCCAAAATTGTGAATTTCGTGGCCCCTGGGTCAGGTGTCATCGTGTTAGGGAGGGACTATATTCATTATATAGTGAACTTTTAAAATCTTCTTCCTTGTCCCTGGGTATTTAGCGGAAAAACTAATTGCATGGTTATGATGAGCAAGGATTCCTCTTCCTAAATAACGAAATTCATGGCCCCTGGATCAGGGTTCTAGTGTTAGAGCAGGCTCTATTGATCATATAGTGAAAATGAATTATTTCTTTGAAAATCTTCTCTGCTGTTGGGTGTCCAGCAAACATACTCATCTATCTTTTTTTTTTTTAAATATTATTATTTTTTATTTTACACATCTGTGCTTGGATCCTTATACAGAAATTCAGGTGACTGTACGTTAAGACCCTCAGGCCGCTTGTTTTAATTGAGATCATTTGGGATAGGTATCAGTGTCATCCATGACAAGCACTTTCGTCCAGCGGTACTTTGCAAGTTTCAAACTCACAAGAAACAAAAATATATTTCTTAAATTTCAAAGATCTTTAATTATCTTATATAATTTTAAAATTATCCAGAATAAAATATTTATTTCGACTCATTCGAGTTGAAGAAATGATTTTTTGAAAACACATAGGCTACACACAAAACAAAGCAAGAGAGAGAGAGAATCTAACTTGCAATTTTCCCCCTTGTATATTTAAGTTTACATGCACACAATAAACCCCCTCCAGTACCTCAAAATTGGCGTTGCTGGTGCATTAGAGTTCTATTATATAATAAGAAACTACGTCATCTGGCCCTGAACTGGCTTAAATCAAAGGTTATGTAAAGTCAACATAGCGTAGTAAATAAACCCCGCCTTCTGCTTGTATTTTTATAGAAACTGAGCTGATTTATTTTTTCACATTGCTTGTATTTAACGTTATCTAATTTCATATTGTGAAAAAATATATGTTAAGAACATAAAAAAATTACAAGAGTGTAAAAAGTCAAAATGTAAACAAAACTGACCATAATATGAATGAAATAGTTGATCTAGATTACGCGCGAAACGATTGGCTCAAAATATTGATTGACAGGGCTCACAAAAATGGGTTACACCGCCTTCAATTGATGAAGGAACATGGCGCCGTGCATGGAGGTCCAGAATAGTGTAGACAAGAAAACTTCGCTCTCCGCCGCGATAAAATAGCAAAGCATTCACACAATCGTAAGTAGTACATGTTTCAACAGCTATTTATTGTGTGTTTGTTAGTTTTGTTTTCCAATTACCAAGTGAAAAATATGGCGTTATTTAAATGCTATGAACATAATTTGGCAGGTTTTCAACGGACAGAAGACGGAAAAGGTACATGTTTCCTCGCGATGTAGTGAGGAAGCGGGTGCCCTTAAAACCGATCTACCTCATGAACTGTTCGATATACCGCGCACATGGCCGCATATTCGGATGCGATCGCGGGAGAACAGATGGTCTGCCCACTGTGTCTCAACCAGGCAGACGATATTCGCATGTTACCATGTTTGCATTCGTTTTGTCGAAGGTGTTTGCAAAGGGCGATCACTCGGGACCACTGTCCATCTTCAACATCGGGGGAACCGAAAGACATTCTGGAGTGCCCAACATGTGGCCAGACAGTGACTTTGAATTCCGCTGGAGTGGATACTTTCCCTTCCAATCAGTTTATCTCTAATATTTTTGATGTCATGGTTCCACAGCAATCAGAATATGAAAATGGAGAAACTGAGCGTGCAATTACTGGGACAAGATGGTGTAGTTCCTGTGATGAAGGTAGCAAGGCTACGTCAGTGTGTAAAAATTGTAACGAATACTTGTGTGATCATTGTGTCAAAGCCCATCAACGTGTAAGATTAACCAAAGACCATTATATAGTACGCTTTGCCATTGAGAGCATAGGTCTTTCTTTCCATTCACCTCAGCCTCCCCAGCTACTCTCTCCTTCTATTCAGTCCCCTTCCATGCAACATCAAAGCATTACCGATCGACAGAATCATCACTGTAGTAAGCATGAACAAGAGGTGCTTCGTCTTTACTGTGACAGTTGCGCACAAGCAATTTGTCGTGAATGCACAATGGTGGAACATGTTGGGCATAGTTTCATATACCTCCAAGATGCAATAGAAAATTCCAAAATTGTTACACAAAGATTACTTACTGATGCAAAAACGGGTATTAAAACACTAGAAGAAAGCATAGAACTTACTCAGGGAATGGCAGAACGGGTTGAAATGCGAGCACAAGGTGTGGCAACCGATGTCAGAAATATAGTTAGAAGACACATGTCTGCACTGGAAGAAAGAGAACGGGATTTGCTGCGGCGTGTGGAAAAAATTCGTCAAGTCAAAGGGAAATCACTCCATTTACAAGTGGATGACCTACGTCTTGGATTGAGTTCTCTGATGCAAACAGTGGATGAAGTGGAAAATTTGATACATACGGGTAATGACTTAGACATACTGAACACTCGAGACAAAATGGTTGCTGAGATGCAAAATGTACGTAAATTGAGAGGACACCTCCAACCACATGAAGATGATAGTATATTATTCACCCCACCAGATCCAGCATTGTTTAACGCCGTTAGTAAAATGGGAATCATTACAAGCAGTGCTTATGCTCCTAACTGCTTTGCAACTGGGGATGGACTAAAAAAGGCTCTAAAAGGCAAAGGGGCATTTTTTGTTATCCATACCAAAGATCATCATGGAGATCCAAGAATTGTAGGTGGAGACCCTGTGGAGTGCATTATCCAAAGTTCAGAGGGAGCTCTTTATCGAACAGATGTTATAGATCGACAGAATGGAACTTATGCTGTTACATACAGACCACAGCTTGAGGGACAGCACATCATTTCAGTGGTCATACGAGGAAAACACATCAAAGATAGTCCCTTTGTAGTAAACGTGCGAAGTGGTCGAAACTATAGTTCGATTGGAAATCTGTTGCTTCAGTTTGGATCCGAAGGAGAATCTGATGGCATGCTTTGTCGACCATGGGGAGTGTGTTGTGACAAAGATGGATACATCATAGTAGCTGATCGAAGCAACAATCGCATTCAAATTTTCAAACCAGATGGCCACTATCATCACAAGTTTGGTTCATCTGGCACAAGGAATGGACAGTTTGACCGTCCAGCAGGAGTTGCAGTGGATCTCCACAACAGAATAGTTGTGGCAGACAAGGATAATCATCGCATACAGATCTTTGACATGGATGGTAACTTCATATTGAAGTTTGGAGAGAAAGGAAACAAAAATGGGCAGTTCAATTACCCATGGGATGTTGCTATTAGTGTAGAGGGAAAACTTTTAGTTTCGGACACAAGAAACCACCGTGTGCAGCTTTTCACACAGGACGGGCAATTCATCAACAAGTATGGTTTCGAAGGATCGTTGTGGAAGCACTTCGACTCTCCAAGAGGGGTTTGCTTCAACAATGAAGGTCAGATGGTCGTGACAGACTTTAACAACCACAGACTTTTGGTGATACATCCTGATTTTCAAACTGCACGATTTCTTGGAACAGAAGGAAGCTCTAATGGACAGTTTCTGCGCCCACAAGGTGTAGCCATAGATCAAGAAGGAAACATCATCGTAGCTGATTCCAAGAACCATCGAGTGCAAATTTTTCAGCCAAACGGAAATTTTCTCTGCAAGTTTGGAACCAATGGAACTGGACCGGGGCAGCTTGACAGACCCTCTGGAATATGTGTGTCTCCAGAAGGCCTTATAATTGTTGTGGATTTCGGTAATAATCGTGTGCAGGTCTTCTAAGAAACCCATTTTTCATGGCTTTCTTCCTTTAAGGAAGAGCTTAAGTACTTTTTCATTTGTGAACTTGCTCAGGTCAGTCCATTTTATTTTGCTATCTCAGGATATTCATCGTTACAATTGTAAATGCCAAAGGCAAATGTTATAACACATTTAAGCTCAGGGATTTTGCTCTATGTGTATTATACTGCAAAAATATAACTGCTTGTGTGGAGATTATTTATTAGCTTACTTGCTTAGGTGTATGACCCTCTGGGAATACCTGTTTAGTACCTGCATTGACCATGATTAAATTATCTGTAATTATATATGTAACACATGTAGCTGGTTGTTTGTCAATGTATTGTATGTCAGTGATAATGCCTGCAAAGTTATGCACTTTCTCCCTTGGTAAACAAGTTTTAGGAACAGTGACGTTGGTCAGCAAATAAGTGGTGTGGATCATTATTTATCATGGGTTAAAGGTCACATCAGGTGCCGTTAGAAAGTGTGTATTACTATAGGATAAATAATCATTTATATGCCTAAGGGGAAATATATTTTTCATACTAAGGGTTGCTGTAACTTTGTGTTGCTTCCTCAGTGGTGTGTGTGTTTTTTTTTAATGCTATATATGCTTGTCTGCAGTGGTGTAAACATGCAGTACACATGCACCAATAATGGACCTCACAGAGGGATGTATTGATTTCTCAAAGCTGGTCAGATTGTTATGATGTGTTTACAGTTGGTTACTCTGCTAGCTGACCATTGAACAGTCATGTAACATTACATAATGAGACAGATGTGTAATTTTATCTTCATTACTTGGCAGGAATTATTAGTCAGATGTTATACACAAAGGTTTTATATCCTGTTTTATTGCATGTTCATAGATCTTTAGAAATTTGTCTGGCATGTAAATAGTTTTACTTTTTTAAAAATATTTTATGTTCCTAAGATTTTGTAGAGTAGATAAGTCACATTAAAAAAAAGCAAGATCAAATCAAACATTGGTAATCAATCAGGTCAAATTCAGGATTAAAATTTCAATATAAAAAAAGAAAACCCAAATAATATCAATTGTGTAGAAATAATTGAGATAAGTATTCTAACATCAGGGAGATTAAATGTTGAATTAACAATTAAAAAAAAAAATCTTCCAGTTAATTTTAGTATTGTCCATTGATTGATCCGATTGATAAACAGGTTTGATTTTACAATTGTGGAGTGTAGGATATTTTCTGGGTTACTGTCCCTTTTTCTTTTTTTGTGTATTTCAAAAATACATTAAAAAATTCAACCGGTGCAAGATTCAGATACAAAGTATTATGAATCGTTAAAAAACCAGTGTTTATACAAAGCGGGATTTTTTTCTGCTTAGAAAAAAAAATCAATTCATATTCACATATTTTCTTGGGTTGGATTGCCGATGGGGGGATTCAAGTGAAAAACTTCCTTCTTTTTTTTTTTTTTATGTCAATTTCTTATAAAACTTGTATATTCAAAAGACCGAACATGAAAGAATAATGTAAAACATATTTGTAGAAACATGACCACCAAAGTAAATAAATTATAAAATAAGATAGGGGCAGAATTTTACAGTTGTTTAGAATATTGAGTAATATTATTACTCATACTTATTATTAATGTTTAGAATATTATTGTGGACTTACGAAAGAAAAAAAAAATATGAAAATTCTTCTAGAAAGTTACTAAGTACTTGGTTATATTTTAGGGTAAATACATGTATTCAATAATTTTTGAGAAATTGGGAATCCGTTTCTGGAGAATAATGTCAATGAGCATGTATTACTGTATCTGTACATGAAAACTTATGTAAAACTATGTGTATATGCTTTTCTTGTTGGCCATATTACACTCGACTATATAATATTGTTAATTAGTAACGTTGTAGAATCATATCCGGTGATCAATATTGTAATTAATATCTTTTAAACTACTGTATTAGGGAGTTTCACAGAGTATACTATATTGGGATAACAAAAAAGAGACTAACTCCATATTCGTTGTAGAGTAGCTAGAACATAATGAAAGAAATTTCATACAATTTATATAGGTACTATTTAATTGAAACACCCAAATCACTCATCTGTGACTAATTACATTCTCAATTTCATGCATGAAAGACTAAATTATGTACATTTTTGGTGTGATTCTTTGCATAATTTTAAAACCAGTAGTAGAAGATTTATGTGAATGATTCTGATTTTGTCCCCAAAAATTTCCAGTACAAGTTGACTATCTGTGACATATTTTTAAGAATTGAATAATATATCTCTATGAACATGATGAACAGTTCAACACATACTTTCAGGAATTCTCCCTTTCAAGGGTTTTAATCTGTATACACTAAATAATACCTCATGTGTTGAAGTAAATTGCTTGAAAGAGTTGGGAAAAAATACCTCATTTTTGACATTATTTGCAAAGCAATATGTTATATGTTAAATATTAATTTTCATGTCCTCTCAATATGGAGAAATGATGTTTTCTCAGGCATGTTTGGAAAGAATGGGTCAATAACTATAAAATATACCAGTCTTGTTCCTTTTTATAATATTGTTAATGCCATACCTATAAATCAGTCTTATTTAGAAGTAAACTTGTACTGATCATGATGGAATGCCATTTTGAAAAATAGAGGGATAAGGGATAACCAAATTTAAATAACCTTGCCCATAATTTTTTTTTCATTTATTTTATCAAATTTATTTTCATTTAAAACAGTTTTTTTTTTTAAATAAAAAATCATCTCTAATTGAGTAAATTGAGCAGTATTTAAATTCAGGGTGAAATCGGTCTGGTTTACTTCTCTGTATTTGGTGAAGACTGATAATAAGTCTGCTGCTGTATTCTGTTGCTAGTGACTTTGTTATGAAATGTGCTTATGTGATAACATGTCAATTTTGTATTAACTCTGCTACCTCATCTTTCATTAAATCTATCATAATTTTTACATACTGAATGCCTCTTCCAGTTTTGAACGAAGAGCTATACTAGAATATTGGACTTGTACTTTCAACAGTTTGGAAGATGTCCTTTTTGTGGGTCACATGTGCACTAGCACTATTACAGTTTCATGACTTGTTTTCCCAGAATGCAATAAACATTATGGAGGAATGTTGGGAAAGATTCACCAAAACCCTTTGTATAGTTTTTGTCCCTATTGACGTTAGCCTGTACTCTAAACTTATTTTAAAAATTTAATAATTCTTTAATGTCTCTCTAAAGCTCTTAACATTTCTTAACCCTAATAATCAAGTTCATATATTTGCTTTGTAAATAAAATGCAATTTCCTCCTTTACAATGCATATCAATTACATTTTTGTATGAACATTACTTTCAAATTTGTAATTTCAGGGTTTTTTCTGTAATTTTATTTTTACAAAGAAATTGAAATATCCAAGCAAATTCAAAATTTAAAGAAAGAATACTGCTTTACTGAATTTTATTTGAAATTATTTAAAACGAATTGTGTTAGCAAGGGATTTTTCAAACTTGTATATGAAACATTTCTGAGCTTATATTTGTTACTTTTATCAAAAATAGTGTATATCACTGTAGTTGTATTCTTATAGTTTGCATGTTACCGTTATCAAAAGATGTTTTATTTTGATGGCAGTGTTAGAGATAGTTTTGTATTACATGATGTTTGTTCTTTGTTAAACAATTGAAATATGGTTTTGATAAAGAAGGAAAGCTTCCAATGTTCACAGTGGTTATTTGTGACATTGTAATGAATTATGGCCTTGTTAAAGAAACGGGTAAAAAGTCGAGGAATAAGATGTATATATTTATATTTACAAAATTTCTTAGTTTGATGTTTTGTTGCACTTTTTTTTAATCTACTAGTTTTGTAGTTATTTCAAAAGAACTGAAGGTTAAGTTGTATACTTTTTTCATTTTCTTCCCCAGAAAAAGTCAAGTCAGGAGTGAAGAGGTGTGACAGATGTGTATTTAATTAAAAACCATAGTTTATAGCTTAAATAGGCAGCCATACATGTTACAAATTGCCAACTCAATGTATACTTTTTTATCAATTTGTTCACATAGTCCTGTTTTATTCAAACCACAGGTTCATATTTTTGGAGATTTATGTTTAGTTTTGGTCATAGACCAGTTCTTTTTTTTTTTCCAGCAAATCTTTGTGATTCCAAATTTTTTAATTTTTTTTTTTTTAAAGAATTTATAAAAATGTTCAAGATATTTTTTAATTATTGTTTTTTTCCTCCCAGAAAAATGTGTCAACACGAATTTATGTAATCGGAATGTGTCTTAACATGAATTTATGTAATCTGAATATTTGTGAAAATTGTACATAAATTTTTGGCACCAAACTTTGAAATTCAAATACTGATACAGATTATTTTTAAATCCTGATTTGATATTGCCTTTTTTGGGGGGTACAAAGTATATTTGGCTTAGACAAGTTTGTGAAAGCATTGGGCATTTTGTATTTTGTAGAGAGGTGTTCAATCCAATTTTTTAATCCTTCAAAAGTCAGTTTTATTTGCATACAATGCACATGTGTACATTTAAAACTTTTATGTGCTTTTTTACGTTTCATAAAATGAAGTAAATAATTTAACTCAGTGCTGCAATATACGCTTGTATGTAAAAGTTCATCATGTATTGTGTAGAACTCGAAAGTCTGCTATGTCAAGAAGATATTCCTCAATTTCACTGCCTTCCAAAGTACAAAATTAGTGTTAGTGTGAAATAATGAAAAAGGAGATTTTTTCCAAGCTATTATAGTTTAAATTTAAATTTTCACAATACCAGCTTTTGTGGTGCTATTCTTATATATTTAAGAGAGGAACATCTTCGGAGTGGTCAGGTCTTTCATGTAGCGAGACAAAGAGTGTTTTTGTCCACAAGCTTTTCTTTTTGTGTGTTATCTATGTGACATGTCACATTAAACAATAAATTTTATTCTTCTTTACCATCAAATTCGACTTCTCTATTGCTATGTAATTTGGTGTGAAAATCGCCAGTGAAAGTGATAAAGCTGTTTTTGCCAAAGAGACAGCAAGATGAGCTTTCAAGCCTGATGGCTAACAGCTCTACTCAACAGGGGGGCACTTTCTAACCAAGAAAGTGAACATAGATAAGCGACCAAGGTCGTTAAAAAGCGCGGGCGATTAATTTCCTTGACTTGCGTGTTGAGAATGAGATATACGTGAACATTTAGTTTTATTCACGTGTCTTCATATATAAGAACCGAAGTTTTGTTTACATTGAATTCTCTGTAGTCATGGACAAAATATGTGTGTATTTGTAAAAGTGCGTAAAACAAGTTGGCACAATTCCAATGTGGCTTGCTGCGACCCCTTAGCGAGAAAACTGACCACTACCGCGTAGGTAATCTCCGCCCACTTTTACGGCCAGGACATAGCATATGTGAAATGACCTTTGGGGTCTACTAAGGGGATATTTCTAGGAAAATCTTAACGTGGAATGAATAAAAACAAAAATGTTGCGAAACAGAACTTTGTAAAACTTTTAAAGTTTAAATAATGAAATAAGAATGAAATAAACCAAAGCTTCCATGTTTATAAATAATGTCGAATATTATGTTTCTGTATTCAGAGGATTTTATTTACACATTGAAGAAGTATATGTATATATAGTAATACTTAGTTAAAAACAATTGAAAAAGGGGGTGGGTAGAGAAGATTACAACTAGCTATATGTTGGGAGCTTGCCTATGAATTATTTTTTATATACTGCCATAACGTATTACTTATAGATATTACGAAAAAGTATTCTGATATATACGGGTGTTGCTAAAACGCGGAACGGAAAACAGAACGGAACGGAAATCGGAAAATTTCATGTCAAGTTTTCACTAAGCTGCTAAAGCACAGGTATAATTCAGACTTAGGAAGCAATATTCTTTATCTAATACATGTAGATCATATCTACTTAAAAGTTATCGTAACAATGTGATTTATTCATGATATTTCCCCCTCAAAACATATGGCATATATATACATGCAATGGTCAATAAAATACACATTAATTAGAATCTAGAGGGGGTCGGGGGGTCCGCCCCCTGGAATTGGCTGAGTTATTAAATGTACATGTATATACTAAACAAACTAAGAGTGAACTTGGACCACCCCCCACCCCCCATCCCCACCCCCTCGAAAACGCGGATCTGTATAAAGTTGGTACGAAAAGTCATAAGTATTAAGCTTTAGAAGTCAATGACCCCCCCCCCCCCTCGAAATAGGTTTTTCACGTTTGGGAAAGGACTTTACGGGGTTTTTTTTGTTTTTTTTTTTTTTGTTTTTTGTTTTTTGCTTGTCAAGAATTTTCTAGGTTGGATTTTTTTTTTGACTGGAACCCCCCCCCCCCCCTGGAAAAAATTTCTGGATCCGTGCCTGCACTTATCACTCATCAAAATCTGAATTTAAAAAATGGCTTATTCGTCAAAGACAAAATCATCATTATTGATTATAAAAGGGCAATGTTGTTTTGAAAAAGACGGGAAAAAAGAGAAAAATAGAGTATATATACATTCGATCACTGGCATTAAGGAAACAATTTTTAAAAAAAAATTATTACAACTACAGGAGTGTTGATGCAATCCACAGGGACCTGAAACGGAGATTGAAGAAAGATAGCATACATGTACATGTATATGGCCAAATTGTGCAAAACAGCACAAACTTATTCCACAACGCCAAGATGAAATTGATGGGGAAATGACATATTTTCGAGAAAATATAGAGCTGTTATTTATATTTAAGGGGGGGGGGGGGTTACAGAGATATACGTTATCCACACCTAAGGCGCATGGGTACATATGCATTGAAAATTATGGAAAATTTTGCTCAAAACATGTAACATGTATATATGTATGGCATTAGATATTTTCTGTTCCGTTTTCCGTACCCGTGCTTTGTCTATGTTCTGAAATCTTCACAAATAAGAGATTGAACATGACTAAATCAACTCGTATCTTCATAATTAAGGATTAAATATGAAAAAAAATTAAAAGATATTTACTGTTTCTGGTATTATTTTTATATTTTAAGGGATTTAACCAGGAATCATACTTTCCGTTCCGTTCCGCTTTCCGTTCCTCGTTTTAGCAACACCCGATATATACGTACTTCATGCATTAAATAAATTAAAATGCGTCATTTTCAAACGAATTAGGCCATTCCAAGTTTTTTCTATGTTTAGCGTCCGTCAGAAAAAACAAACAGAATCAGGAGTCCTAAAATCGATTATTCTGGTCAAAATCTTTGAATTCTGTCAATTTCTATAAATATTTATCTACAATATATCATATTAGGAATATTTTAAGCATTTAATACCTCGGTTTTCCTGAAGAATAGATCTTTCAACGAGGAAAATAGATTTATCAAATCAAATCTTTTGAATGACGTCATTTTTACGACTATTAAGTCTTTGTTTTATTTTTTGGTTTGTGTGTTTTTTGCGAATAGGTAAGTAGGTTTTTAAAAAATGGGTGGACGCTAAACAGAAAAAAACTTGGAATGGCCTTATTACGGAAGCGACCCCCCCCCCCCCCACACACACACACACGTGTCTTGGATTGTAAAATTATGAAAATATAAACATCCAGTAAGAACATTATGGAGTGCCAGATTGACATAACTCAAATTATGGAACAAATCTTTAATTCTTTGAAGATATTATCAATTCATTTCATGTCAATATAAGATCTCTGCACTTATTTAATTGTACCTTCAATTTTTCTTTTTTTTTCTTGAAAATAATTCCACCTTATTGTTGAGGTAAACAATTGAATTGATGCGCTCAATGATTGAATAAATGTGCACATCAATTTAATTATTGCACGCACAAATACAAGAGAGCAAGAGATGTTTTGATGTGCGCATCAATTCGATTATTGCCTGTGATAACGGAATAAATTATATCTTCAAATAATTAAAGATATATATATCTATGTCTATGATAACTACCGGTACAATGAACATAATTCTCGACTGTAAAACCATACTCACAACGTCAGGGGTCCCGAGTCAACATATTGCCGTTGGAAAAAGTGTTGACTCGGTACCCATGACGTTGTGAGGATACTGAAAAACAACTTGCAGAGAAAATACATATGTACAAATAAATTAACCCCAACCCCACCCCTGCGTCTTAGATTGTAAGATATTGATATTAAATCTCGAATAAGAACAACCTACAATGGTGTGACAGATTAACATAACTGAAATTATAAAACATATCTTTAATTATTTGAGGATATATTATTATATCAATTCATTTAAGATCTCTTCACATAATTAATCATATTTTCCATTCTGATTTATTGCGCGCATTGAATTGTTAATATTGATGAATCGTTAATATTGATTTGCTGAACTGATGCGCGCAAAACTTAAATTGCTGCCTTCTTCAATATTTGAATTAATGCGCATATCAAATTAATTATTGAATTTATATATCCATATGTATAATAGATTGTGTTCAAAA